GCCTGCGGGCAGGACTGACCCTCTGCAGCACCAGTGTGCACCCCAGCCCCAGGAACTGGGAAGGGCTGGCTGCTTGCTTGCCACTCCAACTGGGAAAAAAATGTGAAAATATGAGCCATGACCCAGGCAGGGAAGTCAGGGTGAAGATTTGGAGCAGTTGCACCTGAAATGGAAACTTAATAACTGATCCTGAATAAGGGGAAACAAGGAATCAGAGAGAAACAGAGCAAGAGGGAAGGAAAAAAAAGATCAGGTAAGAGAAGAGAGAGAAAGAAGGAAAACCAGTTAGAAGTGGAAGGGCTTCCACAAGGAGGGGAATCAAAAATTTTGGTGAAAGCTCTGGGCAGAAAACTGCTGTCTCTCAGCTCCTGCCCACATCAGGCAAAGCTCCCGAGGCCCAGGGCGCCTGGCAGTGCCCAGGCAAGCAGCAGCCCTTCTGCCCGCCCCTGCCCCCAAGGACAAGAGTGTGGCTGTCCCTGAACGTCCCTCCAAATGCCCAGAGAGCTGTGCCAGGGTGGGAGCATCACAGGGGCTGTGGGTGGGTCTGGCTGCCAAGCCACCCAGGGAAGAGGTGGTGCTGACTCCTTGCAAGGCCAGGACAGCTGCTGGGATGGCAACTGGGCAGTGCAAACCATCACAGGGCAGCAGGGACGCCCTCCTCCAAACTCTGCCATGACACCTGCACCCTCCGTGGCCAGGCAGTCCTGTGCACCCACACTGGAGGAGCCAGCTCTTCAGAGACCTGTCCCCTGCCAGCTTTCTGCAGCATCACTCCCATGAGCCCCTCAGACAGCCCTTGACCCTGCACTCCTCAGCACTGCCTGCTCCCCAGCTCCCTTCCTCTACATCTGCCTTCAACGCAGGTTTTCTTCCTTTCTAGTCCACAGAAATCACAACAGAGGCAGGTTGCACCTACGTCCTTCACAGCTGTGTTTCACCCATGCAAGCAACATTCTCTCTCACTCAGCAGCTGCACTGGGCCTGCTGGGAAGCCCAGGCTGGTCTCCGGCATTCCCTCAGCACCAGTCTTCCATTCAGTAGCAAAGTCGTGGGTGATTCAACCTTACTTTCCTGAAGGCAAAGTAGCTTTTCTTCTTCTACATTGTGGTCTCATTCCTGAATCCTTTCTACAGCCAAGGAAAGGATGGACAGGTTTTGAGCACATGTACATATCTCTTCAGTGAAGCCCTCTCGTCCCCCTTTTCTGGCTGCAAACCAGAGTCCTTTGGAGGACATCTTCCCTAGACAAGTATTTAAGTCTTTTCATACCTCTTCTCTGAGCTGAAGCTTTAAATACATGTCGTAAATTAAAAAGTCTTAAGACAAATCTGAATCCTGGAACAATATGTTCATCCCTGGCAGCACCTCTTAACAGTAAGCAAAACTGAAAAGCTCCAGATTTCTTTCCAAAGCAGTTTCCTTCTCAAACTTTGTTGGGATGAGCAAAGACCACTCCAAGGGAACAGCCAGCTACTCTGGGGTGTGATCTGAACTCTGCTCTGGAGGGCTTAACACCAGCTCTGGCCACAGCTCTGGTTCCACAGCTCATGGCAGCTCTCATGTCTCCTGAACCTGAGGACTCTCAGAGATGTTCAGAGTATCTTGATACTTGGGTATGTCCTCCAGGAAAGAAGCGAACTTCTGAAGCTTTGGAGGTCCGTAGGCTGGCAGAGTTGAGGGCCAAGAGAGGAGCTGAGTCTAAGACAAGATGATGCTGGGAAGGTTGCTCATAGAGCAACCTTGAATTCCTAAGGGATAATTTACTTTCACATTTCGACCTGCATCCCCCAACAAATTGGCTCTAGGACCAGGGGCATTTGGGAAGGTCATTCTCACTATGAGAATCACAAGAGAGAGTAAGCTGGTAGAAAGGAAAGAAACAATGGCACAGAGCAGACAGTCCTCTGGCCCTGTCACTATGGACCATGACCTTGGCTAAGCCCAAGGTAGGAAGAAGGCTTCTCCCTTTGGTGTCCTTAAATGTCCCTGTCATGGTTCTTTGCTCTGCAGGGAGACCCAGCTCCCCTGAGAGGAAAGCATGAGTCCTATGACAAGAAGGGGGCAACGACTGAAACTGAGATGCTGAGACACCATGCTGGGTTGCTTAAGCACCCAAAGCTGAAGAGACTCCCAGCACCTCTCAGCCCAGCATTCTAGTCCTCCATCAGGAGTCAGGACTGAGAGGAGGGTGGAGATACGTGTAGCTTGAGGTGATAAATAACCCAACCTCAACAAGTCTGAAGGCCATGGGCACTGGCTGAGTGTGATGAGAGCTCCAAGCTCTGCTGATGTCCTCCTGTTGTCACCCTCTTGGGGCCACAAATTCCTCATGGTGACCACAGGCCAGGAGAGGACAAGTTCCCAGGTATCAGCTGCTGAGTCTAAGCCACCAACACCTGAGAGAAACACTGGTGAGGCCACCTTGTTATTGACACCCCAGTGCAGCCCTGGCACCCTGAGGGTCGCCAGAAGGTGGAGGCAAAGATCCACTCAATCAAGACGTGTGTACAACTCACTTCTGCTGCTCTTGACTATCAGCTCCTAAATACTGGCACATAGAGGGTCCCACCATGGAACAGAAGATGCTGCTGCAGAGCCCAAGCTTCACTGAAGGTGTCTGCATCCTTGTTGAAGGCCAAGGCTGTGGGCAAGCCCTCACTCATACCCATTCTACCTCCAGAGGACATGCTCCAACCAGCCCAGGTTCAGGCCCAGCCTGCCAATGCTGCCAAATTCTGCTCTGACTGAGGGAAATGACAGGGAGTGAGAGTGGGACTAGTCCTACCCCTGCCTCTGCCTTGCCTGTCCCCCTGCTTGACACTGCTCCAGCTCCACCATCTTCCCTGGGGCCACTCCAGCAGGACGTGCACCCAACTGCACTTGGGCACCAGCCTGCAGCGTGGCTGCATCCAACTATACCACAACCAACTCCCAAAGACCAGTTTTCTTCTGCTTAGTGGTATCTTCTCTTGGTTGCCCTGGGAAACTACCACCATCATGTAAGATAAACCTTGCATGCCAGAACTGCTGAGGGCCCACACTGCCCAACCGTGGACACTGAGAGAGAACACCCCAGGCAGCATTACCCATCTTTGCAAAGTCCTAAGTCCAACATTCCTGATGCCTCTAGAGATGCCTGTTTCAGAGTGCTTGGCTCCAGGGAACTGCAACTGTAGCCAGAGGGCCAGGGAAGCACAAGGGATTGCTAAAGACAGTTTGAAGCTGCCTGCCTGCACCTGCAGCAGACACCAGCAGAGTGCCAGTGCCACAGGGTCAGCCCTACCCTGGGACCCCCAGCACTGGCCACCTCACCCACACAGCCAGCCTTTGAGGAGCACAGCAGGGCTCCTCTGGAAGGTTTCTCCCAGGATCCTGTCTTACAGCACAGAAGAAACACTCAGTGGAGCAAGTTTCACCAACAGCCTTGTCCTGGTGAGGGATCCCGCTCATTACTAGAGAGGGGACCTTTCTGGGGGCCAGCAAAAGGCTCACGCCCTGCCCAAAGGGCAGGAGCCACCTTGGCAGGCCAGTGGGGCACACAGGGGAGCCGACTGTGAGAGCAAGGAGTGGGGAGAGAAGCAGGATGGTGACAACCTCAGGAGAGGAGACAAGGCTTTTCTGCGTGAAAGACTCCATGCTTAGGGAAGCTCCGTGCTCAGATGCAAAATCGTCTAGGGAGTCCTCTTCCATCATCTGTGCCAGCAGAGAAACCCCAACACCCACAGAGAAAGAGAGAGACACAGAGAGAGAGAGAGGGAGAGGGAGAGAGAGAGCGCACATGAGAAGGAATGAAGGAACAAATGGTGGGTAGGTGGGTGGTAGATGGAGGGATGGGTGAATGAAGAGACGTCACAGCTCTAGATGCTCCATTTACAACTCTGCACTTTATGTATTTGCTTGTAAAAGAGATGTGGGATGAAGTCCCGCTTCCCAGCTCAGTGCCTTGATGTGGGGCCAGAAGCCCCAGCCACCCTGTAGCCCTTTTGGTGCTGGGAACCTGCATGCACATGGGCACCAGTCCCCACAGAGAGCCTTGGCCTGGCTGCCCTGCTGTGCCTTCCACACAGCCCAGCCCCACGTCTCCCTTGATCTGCAAGAAGGTCCTGGGAGGGAGCCTTGGCAAATGGGTCCCATGTTTGGCATCCACCTGCTTGGAGCTGTGCCTCCCAGTGTGGGCACAGGACCAGCTCCAGAGCCACCATGGGGAAGTGAACACCACAGGGGGAAGAGCAAGCAGGGAGGGCCCCAGGCAGGGAGAGGGCACCCAGGCTGGCAGGGAGATGCCCTTGCCACACACCACCAATACCAAGCACCCAGGAACCCAGTGCTGTGGAGCACCCAGCTGTATCCCACCAGCACTGCCCATGCAGCGCTGGGGGCTCTGCATGTCCTGGCACCCTCAATTCCAGCCTCCCAGGCACCTTCCCTTCACATTCATGGTCCCACCACAAAGCCAGCAGGCAAAATGCCAGGAGAGAAGGATGTGTGTGCAGGATGTCAGGGCAGCACTGCTCACCCATCCACCTGCTCCCACCACCCAGGTCCCAGCAGGTGAGAGCACCATGGGGCACCAGGTCCTGCTCTGGCCCTCAGGCAAGAGCTACTTGCAGCACAGGACAGCACAGGGATGGCACCGCCCCACAGCAGCCCTACTGAGGTCTGAGGGTTGAGGAAATCCCCTGCTCATGGGCCAACAAAGGCCCAGCCCAACCCTCATGTACCCCTAAAACACAGCCTCCTGGAGAAGAATGAGAAGTTGAACTCCATGCATTGCCTGAGCACAAGGGGAGATCACTATCAGCAGCGTGAAAATGGTTGGTTTGTTACAAAACTTAAGAGTCAACAGCCTGGCCAAAGGCCCCCTCCCTGTTCCCACCACATACATTCCACCATGCTCCACCAGGGCAGCACAGGAGGCAAGAGAACCAGAGCCCAAAAGCTGAGGTGCACCTCTCTGCAAACAACTTGATTCGCTCCATAAGAGACGCAGTGACACAAACCTCGCTGGCCTTTTCTGGGGTTCCTTTTGGTGTTTCATCCTCGTGCTTGGGTGAGGAGGAGGCTGGTGAGGAAGGCAGCCTCCTGTCCCGTTCCCTGTGAACCAGCTTGCTGTTGGGCTCCTTCAGGGTCCGTTTCAGCTCATTGATGCTGGCCTGATGCTTTAGCAAAACATCTTCGGGCTTGTCTAAAAACTTAGGGAAGGAGAGAGGAAGGTAACTATGATTAAAGCACCAGCCAAGGCTAAAGAGATGAGCAGGGGCACTGGGAAGGTTTGCTTCATGCTGGGCTGGAATTTAGGGTCTCAAGAACCAAATTAACAGCATGTCAGAGCACCCTGGTCTGCAGTCCTCATTCAGACCACTGCAGGGAGCAACAAAAAGGCTGCACATGGCTGCAGGTGCACAACAGGCTTCCCTCCATGAAGGGCACACTACAACCTTTCAGCACTTCCAGCACAGCCTGCCAAGGACAAGCTAAGCCACCTGGAGGAAGAGCATGGGTTCAACCTTGGGATCAGCAAGGGATCAGCTCCTAGTAGAAATACCAGCAACTTTGTTTGCTGCTCACTTGTGCCAGGCACAAAGGGAACCCAAGCCTCTGTCCCAGCAGGGTAGGACACTGGCATTTCCAGTGGAGCTCCTTCAGAGTAGGCTTCTGCCAAAGGGCAGGAGGTCAAAAGCTGGTCAGAGATGTTCAGAATGGATCCAAGCCTGGATCACCATGGACCAATCTGGGCCCAGCAGCAGCCTGGGGTGGAGTCTGGCCTGCTGTCGAGAGAGCACAGCTCAGAGCGCTCAAGTGCAAGGTGGAGTTTAGGCATTAGAGCATTGTTTTGTGACAGAACAGGCACCAGGGTGGCTCCCTTTGTCCTGCCCCAGAGGTGGGCAAACTGGCTCAAAGCAAGAACCAGCAAGAGCAAGAACTCTGGCTTCTGCTTCAAACTCAAACATCTTCTGAGGTTCAAAAGGAGTCACCTAAAATACCTTCCTGGTATTTCTCCTCAGGAACAGTTCAGAGACCCAAGAGACCCATAACAAACCCTACCAAATTTTCCAGCTGCTGAAGGCTCAGCGCAACTCATGAAGAAACTCCCCCCATGGTCTGAGCATGGAGAAGTGCTTCAGTTTGCCCACCTCTGGGCTCAGGGTGGGCTGGGGCAGCAGCACATGCACATGCAGCAGGGTAAGCAATGAAGGGCAGGGGAGGGCCCGGGGCCCACCACCCTGGAGGGGTCTGCCCTGAGGTGCCAAGTGGGACAGTCAGGACAGCGTGGTGCCAGCAGCGGAAACCCCCTGGCCTGGCTGCATTTGCCCCATCAGCACCTCCAATGAGGAGCTATGTCCCACTGCGAGCAGAGAGCAGTGGGACACCCGTTGGTTTTAGGATGGGATGAATTGTTCCTGATGGGAGGCCACTGAGGACATGGGAGTTTGCACAGGGAGAGGACAGCCTCCCTCCTCTCTGCGACAGCTCCCTCTGAGATTGGGCAGAGGGAGACAGCTGCCCTCTGGTATAGGTGATGGGTGCCAGTGCCTGCCCCAACTGGCAGCCAAGCAGGCACTGGAAGCTGCTCAGGGACCCATTTGTCCCCATCACAGTGGGACGAGCTGCGGCGCTGCAAGGAGCTGCAACCCGGCCCTCTGTGGAGGATCATGCTGCTGCAGTGGGGGCTGCAAGGGCAGAGCTGCTGGGCAGGGCAGGTGACAGAGGCAGGGCAGGCAAAAGCAGAGCATGGATCAGGGTGCTGGCAGGAACAATGGGACCAGCCCCCACAGGAGAGCTGCAGGGCTGGACAGAGAGGAGACATGAGGCAAGGACATGGAGGAGTCAGTAACACGAGCAGAAGCCACATCTTCCCAATGGGCCAAAGACTCTGCGTGGGGGCCTGGCACCTTGGGAGGGCTCTTGCTCACACTGACCATCAGGACTACCTTACTTAGTGGGATAGAAGATGCTGTACATGCTGGGACAGATCCTAGCTGTCTTCTCCTCAGGCTACTCTAGCAATCAACCTCTTGCCCCAGTGCATCTTATATTCCAGTAAATAGGGTGACACACAGTTTTGCTTTGGAAGGGATGGACAATATGATGCACCAATGAAGACTAGGATACTCCAGAGAGAAAATACCTCCTGCTTGTGCCTGGGGGTTGTTTCATGCTCCGGCTGGCAGCAAAGAGAGGGTTAAAAGTAACCAGCAGGGTCAGTTGAGGGAACTTGTTACAAATATCACAGTTAAGTTGATGGGCTGGTAGGCAAAGGACTGGACCCCCCTCCTCTCACAGCATGGGGCTGAAATGGGCTGAGGTGTCCCTGGGCCAGTCAGGGGCTGGGGCAAGGAGAAGGTGGGCTGTGCCCAGGCAGTGGCAGGCACCGGTGGGCATCAAGTGTGCCTGTCCTGTCCTCATCTCCATCCCCATGCTGGAGCAGTGCTGCTCCCAGCTCCAGCCCTGCCTAAGGTCAAGACGAGACAACCTGAAGGGTGCTTGGGAATCAGAGCTGAGCCAAGCCCCATTTCCACCAGTGAGGCCAAGTGCAATGCCCCAATGGTCCCACCAGCCTGCAACACAGCTGATAGAGAAAGGGCTGCAGGGGACCATGCCACGAAGTGACCCTGCCTACAGCCCAGCCTTGCTGCCTGTGTTCCGTGCCTGCCTGCTCCAGGTGTGAGCCAGCGTACCCCTCCAGCTCCACCCTCCTTTGCCCGCCTTGTCTGTACCTTCAGCTCCTTGATTTTCGTCGGGGTGGTCACCTCCTCGTCCTCCGTTTCAGACCGTCTCCTGCTGCCAAACTCACCATCCTCATCCTGCTTCTCACCCTCGGCCCCGGCATCGTGGTTCTCACTGACAGAGGCTGGGCGCGAGAACTCTGCCCGTGAGGGAGAGCCCAGGTCACCCTGGCCCTGCCACCCTCAACACTCACATGAGCCTCTAGCCCTTGTCCCCCACTCACCCTGCCAGCTCAGACCCAGGGTCCAAGGAGCCCCAGATGTCCTGCGGCAGGGAGAGGTGGTCCCAGGAGTCTCAGGGCACAGGGAACTGGGAGGAGCCCAGGGATGGATGGACACTGTGAGGTCCCGGCTTGGGGAATCCAGCTCTTGGCTACACAACAGTTGGGGAGCCCTGAGAGCCCCCCCCCCAGAGTGTAGATGCTGACCCCCGCGAGGGCACCAAGCTGCCCAACCTCAAACCTGTCACCTCCCCGTGCTCATGTGCAGTCTGAGCTATCACCTGAGGTGGGGACCCTCTGCCACGGGGATGTGGCTGGGGACAGACTCCAGAAGGAAGCTGAACGGCTTGCCTTGACCCTGCGGGCCCTCTCTCCACAGGGGCAAGTTGAGCTGTACCCCTGTCACTCCTGCCAGGGGACCAATCTCCCTCCCCCTCCCCAGTTTGGGGCATACCTCCATCCAGGCTGCGGGACATGGTGTACCGCTTGCTGGAGGAGCGCTCGAAGAAGGGGGCTGGGCGGTCGATGAGGGCGCTGGCCTGGCGTGTCTGTGCCTGCGTCCGCCCACTGTAGCGGAACTTGGAACCCATCACCAGGAAGCCCTTAGGGGGTGGCTCTGGGGACACCAGCCTGGGGCAGGGAGAGAAGTGGGGTGTCATCAGTGAGGCCCATACATACCCCCTGGGGCTGCACCCCACACATACCCATTGTGGCAAAGGCAGGAGCATGTTTGCCTGTGAGCCAGCGTACCCCTCCAGCTCCACCCTCCTTTGCCCGCCTTGTCTGTACCTTCAGCTCCTTGATTTTCGTCGGGGTGGTCACCTCCTCGTCCTCCGTTTCAGACCGTCTCCTGCTGCCAAACTCACCATCCTCATCCTGCTTCTCACCCTCGGCCCCGGCATCGTGGTTCTCACTGACAGAGGCTGGGCGCGAGAACTCTGCCCGTGAGGGAGAGCCCAGGTCACCCTGGCCCTGCCACCCTCAACACTCACATGAGCCTCTAGCCCTTGTCCCCCACTCACCCTGCCAGCTCAGACCCAGGGTCCAAGGAGCCCCAGATGTCCTGCGGCAGGGAGAGGTGGTCCCAGGAGTCTCAGGGCACAGGGAACTGGGAGGAGCCCAGGGATGGATGGACACTGTGAGGTCCCGGCTTGGGGAATCCAGCTCTTGGCTACACAACAGTTGGGGAGCCCTGAGAGCCCCCCCCCCAGAGTGTAGATGCTGACCCCCGCGAGGGCACCAAGCTGCCCAACCTCAAACCTGTCACCTCCCCGTGCTCATGTGCAGTCTGAGCTATCACCTGAGGTGGGGACCCTCTGCCACGGGGATGTGGCTGGGGACAGACTCCAGAAGGAAGCTGAACGGCTTGCCTTGACCCTGCGGGCCCTCTCTCCACAGGGGCAAGTTGAGCTGTACCCCTGTCACTCCTGCCAGGGGACCAATCTCCCTCCCCCTCCCCAGTTTGGGGCATACCTCCATCCAGGCTGCGGGACATGGTGTACCGCTTGCTGGAGGAGCGCTCGAAGAAGGGGGCTGGGCGGTCGATGAGGGCGCTGGCCTGGCGTGTCTGTGCCTGCGTCCGCCCACTGTAGCGGAACTTGGAACCCATCACCAGGAAGCCCTTAGGGGGTGGCTCTGGGGACACCAGCCTGGGGCAGGGAGAGAAGTGGGGTGTCATCAGTGAGGCCCATACATACCCCCTGGGGCTGCACCCCACACATACCCATTGTGGCAAAGGCAGGAGCATGTTTGCCTCTGAGGAGGGAGGCCTGAAGAAGGTATGACAAAGGTCTCCTCACCTGAAGAAGGTGTGATGCTCTATGCAGACCTTCCAGAGACGCTTGGCAGAGCGGTGGTTTGGTAGCTTGAAGCCAATGGTGCTCTCAAACTGCTCATACTTGGGGGAGACAGAGACATACTGTTACATGCAGATCCTGCCCTAGAGGACATGATGGGAGGGGATCTGCCTTGCTAAGACCCTCGGGTTCCCCTGGCAGGAGCCATGACCACGCTAAAAATAGTTGTCTTCAAAGCAGTGCTGGAAAGGTCCATGCCCTACTGGGTGGTAAGATCACACCCACACTCTTCTCACTTATGTACTTTCCTTAGCTGTAAATGGCTTTACAGTGCAAGAGAAATTCCCTCAAGAAAGCAAAACATTTTACAGCACATTTTGGTGAGAAAGCATCACTCTCCATTTTACATGCACTGTCCTTGTCCTCCTGCCTGCTAGGAAATGTGGGTGGAAATGCCTTCTCCCATCAGTGCATGTAAAAGTGAAAAGAGTAAAAATAAAGTTGGAAAAGGAACAAAAAAGCTTCCTGATGTCCTTTTGTGAAGCATGGAAGACACATCAAAAATTACCTTTAGCCCTCCTCCCTGGGAGACCTCCCTATGCCAGCGGGGTCATGGTGTCTGGGGTGCCTGCAGCCTGCTGAGGTCACTTTGTCAGTGAGAAAAAATGAGAGCATGAACAAAAAAGCACTGACTGAAAGCCTTCAGGCACCCCAGATGTGCTCTTCTGGTCAGCATGGTCACTCACCTGGGACCCTTGGGGCAGAGATGAGGACCTCTCCAAGAGGCAGCCCCAGCCCAGCAGAGCAGGCACCCTGCCATGCTCTGGGGCTGTGCTAGCTCATGGCACCTACCTCACCTGGGCGGATCTTGATGTAGAAGTTGCTCCTCTTGTATGAAATTTTGAGGATCTTGGGCCAGGCGAAACGGTTGATCCTCAGCCGGTCCCTGTAGATGAGGAGGCCATTGGCGCAGACGCCCAGCATGATGTCAATGCCCTCTGAGTCCTAGAGGAGGCAAGAGGGACAGGAGAGGACTGCTCAGCTGCCCAGTACGAACCAGTCCAGCCAGCAGTGTCATGCTCCCTCCTGCTCAGTGCTCTGCTATGGGGGACAGGCTAACAGCAAGGTCACCGAATCACACACTGGTTGAGGTTGGACCTCTGAAGGTCCTGTGGTCTAATGCAGGGCCACCCGGAGCCCAAAACTGTGTCCTTCTTGAATCTTTGTTGTGGAAGGATGGGGCTGGGTAGCGAGAGGTGTGTAGACAGCAGGGCACGATGAAGTGGTACTGGCCACCGCCCCATACCTTGGCATGGTGCAGGTCCACCCCATACATGGAGAGCTTCTTGGCGTTCTCCAGAAAGTGGATCTCTGCTTCTCCGGGGGTCATTCCTCTGCAATGAGACAGAGAGAAGGACATGTGGCTGGGTGCTCCACCAGGTGCAGGCCAGGTCTCTGGTGCCTTCCTTGCCACCAGCCTGTCATCTCCTGAAGCTCACCGGTAGGTCTTGTGCAGCTCCATGATGCGCTCCTCCAGCTCCCGTGTCTGGTTGGGGGCAAAGCGCAGCTCACTGATGTAGTTGCCCACATGCTCCTCGGCATCATAGTCACCCAGCTCAGCCTGCACTGTGTAGGAGCCCAGCAGGGCATGTGTGACAAACGAGCAGGGCAGACGCCCCGTGATGATGTCTGCACGGAGCTGCAGGCACAGGTAGTATCTGCAGGAGGGGGCAGAGGGTGAGAGCAGGCCAGAAGTGTGTGCCCTCTGGTAGGCTGGGGCTCCCCAGGGAGTGGCAGCATGCACCCCACCCCACACTATATTCCACAGGGACTGTCACCTCCCACAGCCACCTTCCTGGACCCACGTGGCACGACTTGGACGTGGCACATGCAGTGGGAGGGCAGCGAGCCCCCAGACATTCCCGTGCCTGAGCCCTGCCCCTCCACATGCTCAAAGTCAGTTCCCTGGGGGATGGCTCAGCAGCTGTGCCCATGGAGGGCTGATCCTCACCTTGTGATGTCCTCTGTGAGCTGGGCAGGGTCTGGAGGGTAAAACTTCACAGTGAATGCAAAGTTCCAGGGCCCACCTAAAGAGGGGAGAGCAGTAAGGGCAGCACCTATGCTGGTTGCATGCAGACAGGTAGGAGCATCCAGGCATCTACTAAGGGTCCCACAGCTCCCTCCAAGCACAGGGCAGGGACAAGGCGGCTACAGAATCTGCAGGGAGAACAGCCATGGGAACACCAGCATGGCTTGGTTAATCCCAGCTGGGAAGAGAAAAGCACCACAACTTCAGAAGCCATCAGCTCAGCGTGACTACCAATGTCACAGCAAAAGCCTCACATATCCCAGAAGGTGATGCCCTATCAATGCAACACCATGGGCAAAGGCACTCCAAGACCTGTCCCAGCAAGCCCCCTACTCTTT